TTCATAAATTCTGAAGATTGGACAGTCCTCATAAGCTCCTTCAAATTTGCGAGCACATGTCGCGGTCCTAAGCTCTTGATGCCGATGAAATTCTAAAGTTGCTCTATATCCTGCAAACACAGGGAAGACTTTTGTGAATTCATTTCAAAATGAATATTTGAAAAAATATATATATATATATATATAATTAAAATGTCATGCATCTCAACAAACATTTTTTGTACCAAAAAAAAAAAACCTGTAGCCTAAAAATAGAGAAAGAACTTGTAGGTTCTAAAATTTGAATCTCATATCTGTTAAATGTCGCTTATGACTGCATAAACCAATTGATTTAACTCAAGAAACATTTTGCAAAAAGGAACATTGACTAACTCTTAAAACATTAGTACAACAAATTAAGACAAGGATGAATGCTAGCTTGACCCATTGAGATTTGTCACGCACCCATACATTCATATGAATATGAAGTTGGTCACAAATATACAGTTCTAACCCATTTGCAGTATGTTGGCCTTCTATGCTCAGATAACAAAATTTAACATTAATATTTCAAGACTCCTTAACAGATAATTATAAGGTTAGTATGTGTTAGTCTCATTTGAGAAGTATCCACTCTTTCTCTACTTTTGTTCTTCCTTACAAACCCCTTTTAACCTAAAATGATATTTGGCCTTAACCATATTCAGTAAAATATAAATAGACCATGGAGACAAGCAACTTAATCTGGTCTACCAATGATTGACTGAACTCCCTTCTATATAAGTGTTCAGGTTTAATGCTTGCTATATTTGAAATTGATTAACAACATCATGAAAACTTCAATAGTTAGTTACCATAAAATGGCAATTTCTTTCATTAAAATGTTACAAATATCAGAACAGCTAGAAGATATACAATGGTAAAACAAGTAAACAAGCAGAATGTTACATAGTGGTTTACACTTGATACACTAATGTAACAATTACAAGTGGATTGGGAAACTATTTCCGATTAAGGAGTTGGGAATAGAATTATTTTATATGACAAAACAAAGATTAAAATTTTAAAGAGAAGGGGACATAAGAGGAGAAAGAGAAGGGACCAAAATTGGAAACTCAAATAATTTACATGTTTCCCAATTAGCCTTTTGATAATTTAGGAGACAGGAGATTTTGAGTGCTATTGGATGTAAGGTCTGACCATCATCACGGTTTTTCCTATTTAGTGAATAATCCTATATCAGACATTTAAGAATAAGGACTGAGCAAATTAAAATTCATTGATGTGCAAGAATTAAATTATTAGAACAAACAGAAACTTAGTAAAAGATAAACCACATAGAAAGTTAGAAGCAGTGTAAACTTATTACAATAATGTAAGTGGATTATAAGTGAGCATTTCTCCTTAAGGAATTTGCAACTAAGGCATTATAAACAAAAGAGAAGAAAAGAATAAACTTCTGGAAAGAATTTTCAAAGTAGGGAAACAAGGGAAGAGGAAGAGAAAGGGCCAGAAACTGGAAAAACAAAAGTTTGGTCATTACCTTTCCCATTTAGACGTTTAGCTGAGTTATGGGGAATGGGATTTGAGTGCCAGACCTCTTTTAGACGTAAGGTGTGGCTATTATCACATTTTTCAAATCTGTTGATAATCCTTCATCTCATCTCATAGTTAAAAATAAGGATTTCATGTTACACTCTGATATGGCTGGTGACATTTATAGATTGTCTTAAGAGCCTAT